CTTCTTGATATGTTATCAAGGAGAAAATGAAAGTTTTCTGATATGCTATCAGGGGAATAAAAGCTTCCCCAGCAGAATCAGGAGGTTTAAGTGTGGAATTAAACACTTTCTCAAGTCAAGTAAAGTATATAGCTATGAAGGAAGAGAAGTTTACAAAAAAAATTTTAAACAAAAAATATTTCTAATAGTTCTTTGAAGAGAAATTATTCCTTTGCACTCACCAGCACAGAGCTGGGATAAATAGCATGGTGGAGGCCAGAAGGGTGGGTGGGTTTTCCTCACTTCAGCAGTCAGTTGATAGCCAACAGTCAGAACATACTAAGGACATGAGTGTGGGGCACATAGTAGAATAGACCATGGGCCAGTGTGGTTGCTTTCCACATGGTTAGGGCTAAAGAGGGTTAATGTTGAACTTGTTGACATGAGACCATGAAGCTTTCAAGATGGGGTCTTGTCCTTAAGGATGACCTATCCTAGAGGAGGTACAAGCAGAATATGCCTCAGAAGGAAGTGCAGAACAATTCAACCCAAAACACAGTAGCAGAACACCTAAATGTGCCAGGTTGCAGGTTATAACTTTGTAATAGAGAGATAAATACCCCTAGTTCCTAGATGCACCATCTAAAGCAGATATGTGAATAATCAATTTCAAAAAAAAAAGGATCAAATTTATGATAAAAAAATTTAAAAGTACGGAAGCCCAAACGAGGGCCACTTAGCTCAGGCAGAGTTGGAAAAGATAAAGGAAAGTTTCCTAGGACAGACATTTCGATGAAAATTTGAAAGATAAATGGGAGGAAACTAGGCAAAGGAGCCCGTTGAGCAGAGCCCATCCTAAGTACATAAAGCTAAGTATCGGTCCAGTGCCACTGGTTAATGGAACTCTATCCCACATGACCAACCCCAGTTCAAATTCTGATCTCAGTGTCTTGTAAAACACACAGGGGAAATGTGAGTGAATGTCCAAAATCTCAACAGGATAGAGAAATGGAGGCAAAGGAACTGCAGCATGACCATGTGTGGTATTTCCAGCCCCCTGAGGGTTTCTCTCTCTCTCTCTCAAGGGCACATGCCTTATAGCAAAATTTTAAAAAGAAAAGAAAAAATAAAGATGTAAAGTAAACTTACCTTGAAAAGAAAGTAAAGCCTCCCCCTACCAGATAACAAGACAGACAAAGAGAGAACTAAGCAATCATTTGTACTTTGCTTCAAGCCAAAGCCTTTGTGCTGGAAGTGTATCCCAGTGCTGCTGTCATTCTCCTCCTAGCTCTCTCTCTGGGACCTTACCATGTTCCTTGTAGTTTTCCACTGCAGGAATTCACTAGGATGGCCTCTATACCAACTTACTGCACCACTGATATTGACAGGAAGCAATTATAATCCAAGTGACTTGAGAAGTGACAAGACTACAGATGCTCCTCTCAGAAACAGCTTATCCCAGCAACACAGAGTTCAGAGGATTTGAATCATGATGTGGAATTGCACTTGTTTCTGAAATCTCCATATTTAGTCAGCCCCTTAAAGTCACATTCATTCTCCATATTACTGAGGGTCCAGATTAAAACCAAACAGGGGAGACCAGCAGTTAGCATAACGACTATGTCGCTGGACTCCCAAGTAGTTGACCGCGGTTGAAGTCCCGGACCCAGTGGCTTAAACTCACACCAGGCGTATGTGTGTGTGTGCCTAAGATCCCAAGAAGAGAATAGAGGAAAAGGGATTGTGGCGTGGCCATCCCCCTGGGGGGTGATTTCCTGCTTTCTGTCTCTCTGTCTCTGTCTTTCTGACGGATGCACATGCCCTATAGCAAAAACCTCTCAAAAAAAACAAACAAACAAAAAAAAAAAAACAAACAAAAAAAACGAACATGGAACTACCCTGTGGATATATTCATATTGGAAGTTGCAGGATTGTAGCAAGTGGAATTCTCAGAAATAAACACATTTAAGAAATTCCATTAAACTACATATGAGAAATGTAGGGTCATATGGCAAATGACATTTCTAATAGTGCACTCTGATGATTAGCAAATTAAAAGCAGACTAGATTTAACTAAAGTGATTTCATTAGTGCTTTTTGTAAGATAAAATTAAACTACAGAAATTATTTTTGAAAGCCTAATGATGAGATTCCAGTTTTCAAATGGACACTATACAAATGCTTCATCTCAATCGCCAGATTTTAAGTTAAATGGTTCTTATTCACCATTTAATTTGGCCACTGTTATTTAGCCAAATGGTTTAGTCACCCAGTAAAAATAGAGTTTAATCTAATTATCAGTCTAAGATTTTTATAAATATTTTCTCAACTTCAATTATTTTTCATTGGTGACTTCCTGAAACGTTCAAAGCCCAGAAAGGATTGTATAAATGTTAAGGAATAGTTGTTGATCATTTCTATTACCTAAGTTTCTTACATTCTAACACTTGGATTAGAATTTCCTGTTCTGTCCATATGTTTTTCCTATATGCCAGATCTCAGTAAAATGTGTCTTTAAATTATAACTGCTGTTTTTTGAAATTCTTATGGTGGCCATCTTGCTCAAGATGATAGACAGAAACACAAATCAGCTTCCTCACAAATCTTGGTCAGCATTAGGAGTGCTAAAGTTGGTTGCATGTGTCCACTTGGAGAGTTGGTGAGGAAATAGGCAAACAGAGTTGAAACAGAGACTTCACTTCATGGGGCAGGTTAACAGCATTCCCTCTACAAAGTTTCAGTAGAAGTTAATGAATGTGTGGAGTCATCTTCTTCTGAGTCATGTAACCCAGAGGAAACCTAATGTCAACATTTGGGGTAAGGTGATCCAATTTGATAAAATTACTATTTATCTCCATATCCTTTGTGGTTCTCCAGGCAAGTTGGCTTTCATGATAAAATTAATGTAAATGACCAACTCACAGCAGCTTGAATGAACTGCAATTTCAGTCATTTTACAGACTCATAAAATATTCCTGTTTCATAATCTTGGTTTGTGAAATCCACCCTGTCAACAAATTTCATTATGATCACAACCTAGGTCATCATAGATTTCTGGGATTTCAGCCTGAATAAAGACAGCAGAATCAGAACATCTGTTATACCGGCACCTTTCTACAGACATAAAAGAAGTCTTTCAATGTTTATTTTTTTAAAAAATGAAAAGCCCATATTTATCCATATATACTGATTTATCTACAAGGGGTCTTCAAAAGGTTCATGGAAAAGACATATTATTAAAAAAAAAAACTATGCATGAATTTTTAAGAAGTTTCTGCACCAAAATAAATGTGTATTTTAACACAAGTTCTTTAAAGTCCTCATGTTATACAATATAAGTATTTTGATCACAAATGACCTTTTCTTCATAAGTAACATCTTTTAAAAAAAAAGTCCTATTTATGGTCCCTATTTTACCCACAGATAGAAGCAAATAGTTCCAAGTACAAAATAATTGGGCATGTTGGACACATGAGATGCGTGCAGACACTGACAATCTCTCATGCCCTGGCAGGCTGCACAAGGTTGCCAGCCTCTTCCCCAACAGTTCCCCAAGGAACCACAGCCTTCACTCAGAGCTGGCGTGATGTGGTCCATTCACTATCCTTCTTCTATGTTCTGACTGACTGTGTGTGCTCAGGATGTTCCCATGCTGATTCGGATCCCTCTGGACCAGCCCGGTTCTGCATGTTCAAAGTCTGTGGTTGCTTTGCTCATGTCCAACCAAACAAGAAGCTCCCTCACTATAAGCAGTCACAGGAAAAACATTAGATAGAAAGCCACTCACGATCCTTTATATTTTCTGCCCGGCCATCTCATGTGAAGTAAACAGCATAATTTCTTTCAAAGTATTCATTCTTATTTCAGTACCAAGGTAGAATTCCACTTACTATATTTAACTTCCATGATTTTTCCCTAGTTTTACTACAGGGCACATGTGCTTACCAGGGAGAGAGAGAGAGAGAGAGTGAGAGAGAGAAAGGGAAAATGAGAACTCATTCCCCAAAGGGGTGGCACAGTGTGTTCTCCTCCATTATCCTCTTAGAATTTGGGGAATTCACACACATACACACGCAAGCCAATGGGTCCAGGACTTGAACAATGGAGTCAGCCATGGAGTATCTAGTCACCTTAACCATCTGCCACCAGCCAGCCCAACTTCCATGATTTTAAAAAATAGAATAAATAAATTTGTGAATTCACTGTGCTTTCAGTGAATTCTTTTCTTTTTTTTCTATAAGCTTCCCTGTTTCTGTTAGTTATAGCACCAGGGCCAAAGTATTATTCACTTTTGTTTTTCATGTTACCCCCAAATCTGGAAAATTCAATAAGATTTTATAAATTCTCCTCCCAAATTGTTCTAAAATTTACCCCATGTCACCATTTTCACCACTACACTATCATCCTACTGAAGACATTTGTAACTTCACACTCTTTAATCACACTTCTCACACATAAAAACATATACATGCATATACACACAAATATGAATGTGTACATACATGTAAATTATATATCCATGCAATTACATAGTCACACAAATAGATAAATGCATTATATATAAATACAAAATATATATACATAACCCTATGATATGTACACATATATATATACAGATTCATGAATGTACAAAGTTATATATTATACACATATGCACATATATTATTTATAAGTATGCATATATGTTATTCATATATATCAAAAGGCAAAAACATTGCCAACTATGAAGAAATTTTATGTATTTTTTTTTCTTAGGTAAAATATTGGGGGATGAGGCCAGCAGGAGGCATGGAAATTAAAGGATGGATCCCACATGGGTTTGTGTCCCACACCAAGTAGCTTAAAAACCATGTCTGGCATGTGTGCACGTGTGCCCAACATCCCCAGGAGAAAAATGGAGAAGAGACTGCAGTATGGCCATCGCCCCTGGTGGTGGAGGTTTCTCACTTTCCATCTCTCTGTCTTCTACTGTCTTTTCAGTTTCACTATACACACACATACACACAAAATGCAAAACTTACCGGCTGACCTCCCCACCATCGGTGATTAAATTTCTCTCTCCCTCGAAGATGGAAAGTGGCATCAAATACAGGATCATACATTGAATTGCCAACAATTCCATGTGACTCTGGATATAGTCCCTTTGTGTAAGAGCAATTTTATTGTTAAAATAACAACATGATAATTTGTACATATTATTAGTTCTATCATAAATTTTCCTATCATAGGTTTTATAGCAATATTTAATTTCCAAAATTATATATATGTATATATATGTATATATAATATAAATATACATATATTATATACACACACATATATATATAAACCTAAACTGTCTTTATGAGCAAACATGAATAATATCTATGGGACCAATTAAGAGCCATCTGAGAAACTTAACATGACTAGAACACATTTAATATGTGAATTTTTAACTATTATAATTTAATAAGATGATATCATTTTTACTTAATAAGTTAACCCCTATATTGAAATTTACACATGTGCCTCCAAAGAAGACTCTCTCTTTAATACACTTTTTTCCTAAGCTCTATTTCTCCCCTGAGCCAACTAAAACAAATAAAAATAATAGATAAGTGATGTTTTAAAGAAAAAAAGAGAGGTAGAGTTTGGAGTTTCTGACAATTAAAAAATTAAAGATAGCAGCCCAAAAGTCAACATTTTTATTGGCAAATTGATAAAATAAACGATAGATCTGAGAGACATGTAAAGCATGTGTTCAGACAGAACTACACCTGAAAAATATTTTCCATTCTAATGTTGTGATGAAGTTCAGTCACCCACGAAGTTATAAAAGGCAATTGCTGTGAACAAGTCATGCAGATAAGATGGAAAACAGAAAGATTTTCTTTGAACACTAAGAAAAATATTTTAAAAGTCTTCCCTTTAAGTCATTCCAGAATGAACTCAGCCCTTTGAGTAGATATCATTTGAAGACATACTTACAGTGGCCAAAGTGTATAAGTTAGGGAAGGTTTTTGTTGGGTACACAGGCCTCATGTAGGGAGAATGTGTGCCACATGATCCTGGAAATAGATTCCAGATATTAGAACAGGAGAATCAATGGGAATCTCTTCAAGTAAAAAAACCTGTTTAATAAACTATCAAATGTGTTATCTTCCCTTGTGTATTTCAAACAATACACCCATCTACTTCGAAACCCATAGCAGAGTGGGTACAGCGGAGATCCTGAATTCCAGATGAGAACACGGAGCATGAAAATCACTTACTTAGTTTTTCTATGTTAGGCATGACTTTGCTCCCTTTCTTCATATATGATGCACGGAAGCCATCCACTGAGAAGATGATTAATGGAGGACGAACAAACCTAAACAGTAACACATTAAGCTTTAAAGAAATTATTGTCACAGAATTTCCATTGCGTATAGTCATTCTCAATCGAGATAGATAATCTCCGAGAAGAAACTTCAAGGAAGGATATCTAGAAGGCCAAAACTTCCAGCTACATAACATTGAAGGCAACTGCAGTCCAGAGTTAAATGGTTGAGGTCACAATATGGCCAGGCAAGATTCTTGACTCCAGATTTTCCCTACTGTACTTCCTCCATTTCCTTTCACCTTACAAACAAGATTATATTTAATATTTTTAAAAATAGGGCCAGCTAGATGACACAGTGGTTAAGGCACAACTCAAGTCCTGGATCCCATGGCTTGAAGGGCATACTGGGCATGTGTACCTGCATGTCCAATCCTAGGAAGAAAATGGAGGAGAAGTGACAGCATTGTGGTCATCCTTCTTTGAGAGTGCTTTCTGACTCCCACCTCCCCTACACCCCCAACTCTCTCCAGCAAGCACATGTGCCCTATAGCAAATTTAAAATAATAATAATAAGTAAAAAACCTATAATTGCCTAGAATGTGTATTTTCCCAGTTTGCCATAGGAAAATTGTTATTCATTTGTTAAAATCTAGCACATACACCCATCCAGTTAAGGATATTAGATCCTACATGGTCAGCCACATCATGTGAGTATCAGTGGCTTGGAAAAACATGCCAGGCACAAGTGTGTGTATGCCCAAAATCTCCAAAGGAGGGAGAAATAGAGAAGGATGGATTGTGATGTGACAATGACCTGAGGAGAAAAGGGGAGGTAGCGGTGCTTCTTCCTCAATTTCTCTTTCTATGTCTCTGTCTCTCTGGCAAATTTTAAAATGTTTAATTTAATTTTTAAAATAAAATAAAAAATAAAACCCAGCTCAAAGTCCCCTCTTCTATAATGTTAGTTGTTCATGCTTCTGATTTTCTTTACGATACTGATTTGTACCTCCTTTTTTTTTTAAAAGAGAGATTTTTGCTATAGGGTGTGTGCACTCAATGGAGGAGAGATAGAGATAGACAAAAAGCAAGAAATCATCTCCCACGCTGATATAGCCATGCTGTAACCCCTTCTCCTCCATTCTCCTCTTGGGATTTTGGGCATGCATGCACATGTGCCAGGCATGAGTTTCAAGCCACTGGGGTCCAGGACTCAAACCACAGTTGACTACATGGGAGCCCAGCAATATAACCATTATGCCATCTGCTGGTTCCCTGACTTGCACCTCTTTGATCATTTATATGTACACCATTTTACATTATTGTAATGATCTGTTAATAAGTTTCTCTTCTTTACTTGTTTCAAAGAATAGTTAGTGTTTTATTGATCTTTCCATTTTGGGGACCTATAATACGGCTTCAATATATACTTATCAGATGCATTAATGAAGAGTGAATGTGAGATTAACAGCTGTAGTACTCTTATCCCCAGATCTAAGCACTGACAAAATAATTGTCTATGTTTAATATAAAATAATTTCAAAAATAAGTTAAATTTCAGAACTCTAAAAGTACATCAAGAAAGGATTAGACTATCCATCTACTCAAGGCAAGATCTGATGAAATGACCATTCGTTACACTATAAAGCAGGGTTTCTGACCCCCAGGCATCAGTCAAGGATGGTCCATGGCCTATTGCCAACATCCTCCCACCATGGCAGGTGGGTGGTAGGCAACCAAGCGAGTCTTCATTTGTGTTTGCAGTCACTCCCCATTGCTTGCATTGCTTCCTGAGCTCCATCTCCTGTCAGACCAGTAGCAGTATTGGATTCTCATAGGAGCACCAACTCTACTGTTATGTGATTGTTTCATTGTATATTGCAGTGTGGTAGTGGTGTAAATGGGATGCATGGTGAATGTGGTGCACTTAGGTCATCCCAGGACCATCCCTGCCCCTACACTACCCCGTCTATGGAGGGATTATCTTCCATGAGCCTAATCCATGGTGTCAAGAAGGTTGAGAACTGCTGATCTAGAGACTGTTGTTCAATCAGACTTGAGAATGCTAAAGTATGTACTAAATTCTAACAATCTGAAGCTAATTAAGCAAGTATAGATGTGAGTTCATTTGAAGTTACATAATAAATAAGACATGATTTTTTAAAATGAGACATTTTAAATAAGTCACATAAAGCACTTAGAACAATACATCAGGGTTCAGTATTGTCATTACTGTTGGGTCACTGGGAAAGTCATGAAGCATTATTGCATAGAAAAAACATAATGCCATGACTTTTCTGATAACCTAGTATTATTCTTTAACAGGGTTTCTATCACACACTCTACTTTTTTCTCAAAAACAATCAAACATATTGTAAATAGAAATTATTGCCACAAATTCTACAAGTCCAAACAAGGTAAAATGACTCATAAAAGTTAAAAAGGAGAAAAAAAATACATAGACATCTAAATACTTCAATTTTGCCTCTCAGGCTGTGCTTCCTAAAACAAAACTGTATTTAACAAACAAACACATTAATAAAACCACATTTGTTGAAAATATATTTTCTGCCAAGCATTGTAAGGGTCTGTGAATTTTCAACAGTTTCCTGGAAGGCATAATAAGGGCCTAATGCTGGTTGCATTTGAGCTGTGGGGTGTCACTCAAGGCTGGCTGTATCCCAGAAAAGCAGCGCTTCAGTGGTCCCTCAAGGTTCTGTAGCATCTGATAGGTGTTACCATCTTGGAAGATATTTTTTTAAAGTTTCTATTTCACCTTCCTACCCCACACACTCCTAGAAAGAAAGAAAGAGGAAGGAAGGAAGGAAGGAAGGAAGGAAGGAAGGAAGGAAGGAAGGAAGGGAGGGAGGGAGGAAGGGAGAGAAAGAAAGAAAGAAAGGGCAATAGTGGAACTCCATGGGGAGAAAAAAAAAATTAAGTCAGTACCATAACTGCTTCCTTCAGTGACACTCACATGCACTCTGTAAAATCTTTAGCTAAAGTGGAATAAAGGGGATATTCAGATTCCAATATATGCAGAAGTAACAGGAAAAATTTGAAAAAAATCAACTATTGCTTCTTTAAGGTTCCCTTTCTGACTTTTGACTCATGAATCACTACTAAGTATTCATAAGTTTTCCTGTACGAAAGGTCTTCAATTTTATGTTTTTTCTAATCATTTACTCATCCATTTCCTGTGATATTTTACCCACTAATATATAAAACTTTATATATTCTTATAATACACTTACCCTGCAGGACATTCCGGGGCCTTTATTTCCTCACAGTCATCATCTACCCAATGTGACTCTCCTAAAAGAAAAAAATAGGTAAATTTACAGTTGAAAGTAATTATGGGAGTTGGAGAGCAGCCAGGAATTAATGTGGCTAGATCACTTATGGCTGATTGCATGGTATGAGTCCTGGCCCCCCATCGTCTTGAAAATCACACAGGCATGCCCCAAATTAAAAGAGGAGTAAGGAGAAGAAGGAATTGCAGCATGGCCATCTCCCCAGGTGTTTGAGGAGAGAATTTTCTCATTTTCCCTTTCTTTTTTACTTTTCTCCTTCCTCCCATTTCTCTCTAAAGAGTGCATATACCCTATAGCAAATTTAAAGGAAAAAAGAGAGAGAGATTAATTATTAAAGCACTCAAAGAATACAATTTTAAGGCAGTTGTTCTGTTTGATACAGGCTTATAGGACATCATCTTTAAAAAAATTCTAACTTAAAGTCTTGTGTCTGATTTGGCTTACAAAGTCCACCCATAGATGGTGGGAAAGCTAAGATTTAATAATGTCAAGTGGTGTTTATTCAAGCTTTCCGAGTCTAAATGGTTTGTAGATTTAAAAAAAATAATAATAATAACAGTGGTGTCAGTGAACAAAATTTCATGTTTATATCCCTCCAGAAATAAACTGTTTGGTTATTAGATGGAACACTCTTCTCCACCACTGAAGATCTCTCTCAGTCATAGATAGCATGACACAACGTACCTTTGGATGGAAGAAGAGGCTTAGAATATGCAGGTATAACAGATGGAAGATTGCGATAGAGAGATTAGAAAGATCTCATCTTTCTCTAAGATCTAAGAGCATAAACTTAAGTTTTTCCTTATTTATTTCTATCAAGGATAGAGATCAGAAAAGAACTCAGATTAAAAATGAGGCTTTTTTTGGCAAAAGTGAAAATTATCAAAAAGAGTATCTTAAGTTGTTCAGAGACAAAAGATGTGTCTTGAACAGAAGAAAAATGGATGACCAACACTTTGGGAAAACAGCACCCAAGTAGAGTATCGGTCAAAAAGAGTTCCTTAAAATAATGAAGCTTTACCACACATGTCATAGCCCAGAGTGGACAAGGACTCTCAAAAGCACTGGAACTAGAATTTTAAACTAGCAAAAGCAATGTTTGAAAATTCAATGTCCTCCAACTTTTCATCTTTTCATTTTCTTCTAATAACCTTTGTGACTTATTTGTACACTTATTACACAGGAAAACAGAAAAGAAAGAAGAAATAAATTCTAGATTAATTTTATGTTTTTTCAACAATTATAGTAACTATTTGAATAGGTAAACCTTTCCAAATTCACTAATATAGCACCTCTTGCAACAACTAAACACATCAGATGTTTCAGAACTAACGTGCCATGTCTCTGAAATCTTTTAAGAGAAACTCTTAACTATTCCATTTAAGAACTTTAAAACTGAAACATGACTATAAATAAAGATTTTTGTTCAGTCTTTTCATTAACTTCTATAAATGGGTGGCATGGCAACTAAAATTCCTAAAGACAGGAAATACATATTGCATATTTTGTCATTATTATTGGTTATTATTAATTATTAGAATAAAATTGTGTTTGAGACCAGAAGTTGGCATAATGGCTATATCACTGGATTCCCATGTAGTCGACCACGGTTCAAGTCCTGGACTTAACTCACGTGACTTAAACTCACACCGGGCACGTGTGCATGCATGCTCAAGATTCCAAGAGCAGAATGGAGGAGAAGGGATTGCGGCATGGTCATCACCCTGGGGGTGATTTCTTACTTTCTCTCTGTCTCTCTCTGTCTTTATGGCAAGTGTACACGCCCTATAGCAAAAAAACTCTCAAAAAAAAAAAAAGAAAGAAGAAAATTGTGTTTTCCAATTAACTATACAAAGTCAATACATGTACATGTGTATCTTTGTGGCATAACAGACTATTGGTGTTCTAATCCCCTTTCAAGCTAGTACCTCCCTTGCCGAGCTGCTGCCAGTGCCTCAGTGAACAGCTTATATACACTGGGCACAAAACCATGTCCCCTATCTCAAAAGTAGGAAGTCTGGGATTTGCTTTTCAGAGCCTGACTGACATCCCTCTATTTTCCTTGGTCCTTTGCATGGTTTTCCTGCACAGCATAAACCTACATGTACCAATCTCTATCTCAGGCTCTGCCTCTAGGACTGCTAACCTAAAACTAGGACAGGAAGTTTAGAAATCTCTACACTGGGGCCAGCAGGTTGCATAGTGGTTAAGGCACTGGGTTCCCACGTGACCAACTACGGTTCATGTCCCAGACCCAGCAGCTTAAACAGACCAGACATGTGTATAGGCGTGACCCCAAATCCCAAGAGAACAGAGAAGGGATTGTGGCATGACCACCCCCCAGGTGGTGATTTCTCATTTTCTCTCTGTCTCTGTCTCTCCAGCGAGCACATGCATTCTATAGCAAAAATCTCTTTAAGAAAAAAAAGAAAAGAAAAGAAAGAAAGAAATTATTTTGGTTCTCTCTACTTATGGAATTTGGATTTATTTCCTTGTTATTTCAGATCAGTAAAATGCAGGTAGTCAAACTAAGAAGGAAGCATGGGAAATTTAAAAAGTACAACTCCTTCCCTCCTCTCAAACACATATTTAAGGTTTAGCATTTATAACATCCAGGATCTCTTGGACCATCTCCCGTTTTGATTCTTTTAAAGTACAAGCCAATCCCAATACATGTACCTTTGCAAACCACGTGGTAGTTAGTACAGCAGTCTCCCCTGGCCAAGCAGTCCTCGGAGCAGTGACAGGCATTTTCGTCATTCCTTACTTCTCCACATCTGTCCTTCGTACACTCCCAGCCACGAGCTGCAACCATCACAGTACAACACTTTCACTGCTGCACATAAACCGAATGAAAGAGGCCACAGTTGTTTCCCAGGGTTTCTAGCAAAAAGAGCTAAAATCCCACATTGTTTAATGTGCTTGTGAAATCTGAGTTGGCCTAGATCTAGATGATATTTGAAGAACTTACAGATAGGGAGACTTTCTAACTTTTCGGGTCAGAGAACAAAGTCAAAATATTAGGTCTTCAGGAAAGTCATGATGTAGTATTTTTTGTATTCTTCTATACAGAAATGTGTCATGAATTTTCTGACCACCCAATACAATTGAGCTGCTTTGAGAAAATGGAACCCTACATGGCAAACAAGAATCCCTATCATTCTAGAATCATCCTAAAGCACCCCCCAAAATGTATAGTATTGAAGGTTAGTTATAGGGACATCTATCATTGTAGGGATAGTCTCTTGAGCTTGGCCCTTTGTTTTTAGACAGGGTTTTACTTAACTTTAATCAGTTTGATTTAAATATAGATGATAATGCATCTACAAATGGCCTCTAGTAAGAGGCACTTGGTAGTTAAAGTCTTAAAGATATATGAAAAGTAAAAGGGGCATTACACCCTCACAATTCCAACCATTGGCCAACAGGAAGCCTTACCTACAATGAGAGGTAAGAGTCCCTGCTTGCTAGACCAGTAGGTGGGATAGAGACTTCATCTAAGCATACTCGCTTCAGAGGGCTCAACTCCTCCAGGAAGACAGATTCACAAAAGTTATATTTTCATTGTAAAGAGAATGCTATATTTTTTTGTATAATTTTTTTTAAATCTACTAGACTGTAAGTTCCATGACAGGAAAAAAAAAATTCCCTGTCATTCTATTTCCAATGTCAGTTTCTCTCTGTCTCTGTCTCTCCAGCGAGCACATGCATTCTATAGCAAAAATCTCTTTAAGAAAAAAAAGAAAAGAAAAGAAAGAAAGAAATTATTTTGGTTCTCTCTACTTATGGAATTTGGATTTATTTCCTTGTTATTTCAGATCAGTAAAATGCAGGTAGTCAAACTAAGAAGGAAGCATGGGAAATTTAAAAAGTACAACTCCTTCCCTCCTCTCAAACACATATTTAAGGTTTAGCATTTATAACATCCAGGATCTCTTGGACCATCTCCCGTTTTGATTCTTTTAAAGTACAAGCCAATCCCAATACATGTACCTTTGCAAACCACGTGGTAGTTAGTACAGCAGTCTCCCCTGGCCAAGCAGTCCTCGGAGCAGTGACAGGCATTTTCGTCATTCCTTACTTCTCCACATCTGTCCTTCGTACACTCCCAGCCACGAGCTGCAACCATCACAGTACAACACTTTCACTGCTGCACATAAACCGAATGAAAGAGGCCACAGTTGTTTCCCAGGGTTTCTAGCAAAAAGAGCTAAAATCCCACATTGTTTAATGTGCTTGTGAAATCTGAGTTGGCCTAAGATCTAGATGATATTTGAAGAACTTACAGATAGGGAGACTTTCTAACTTTTCGGGTCAGAGAACAAAGTCAAAATATTAGGTCTTCAGGAAAGTCATGATGTAGTATTTTTTGTATTCTTCTATACAGAAATGTGTCATGAATTTTCTGACCACCCAATACAATTGAGCTGCTTTGAGAAAATGGAACCCTACATGGCAAACAAGAATCCCTATCATTCTAGAATCATCCTAAAGCACCCCCCAAAATGTATAGTATTGAAGGTTAGTTATAGGGACATCTATCATTGTAGGGATAGTCTCTTGAGCTTGGCCCTTTGTTTTTAGACAGGGTTTTACTTAACTTTAATCAGTTTGATTTAAATATAGATGATAATGCATCTACAAATGGCCTCTAGTAAGAGGCACTTGGTAGTTAAAGTCTTAAAGATATATGAAAAGTAAAAGGGGCATTACACCCTCACAATTCCAACCATTGGCCAACAGGAAGCCTTACCTACAATGAGAGGTAAGAGTCCCTGCTTGCTAGACCAGTAGGTGGGATAGAGACTTCATCTAAGCATACTCGCTTCAGAGGGCTCAACTCCTCCAGGAAGACAGATTCACAAAAGTTATATTTTCATTGTAAAGAGAATGCTATATTTTTTTGTATAATTTTTTTTAAATCTACTAGACTGTAAGTTCCATGACAGGAAAAAAAAAATTCCCTGTCATTCTATTTCCAATGTCAGTCAGACTATGAGCCTGTGCCTGGAGCATGCTCAGGGTTTGATGAATATTTATTAAATCTAATTAGAAATAGCCATGGAAATAAAACATGACTCTAACTACAGGAGTGGTTTGGGGTTTTTTTTGAGAATTTTATAGTTAATTCATTTATTTAGTAAATATTTATACCATGCTTCAGGTTCTTGGTGCAGGGGTTATTGTGGAGAACAAGGTAAGGCCCCTATCTTAATGAAACATGCAATTCAACTGGGAACTACAGACCACAAGAATGTAAAGATTTCATCCTAAGTTTTGCAAAAGAAATAACAGATGGCACTGACAGGGAGTAACAAGGTGGGATGGGAGCACTATTGGAGGTGAAATGATCAAAGAAGGTGGTGTGAGTTAGAGAAGACATGGACAATTCAAGTCTTCATCTCTTAATATATGTCTTAAGTGGAAAGCAGTTATTTTAGAAAGCAAGACAGCACTTTAGTAATAGTCTACCAAGATTAACTATCAATAATTCTATGAGAAAATCCCTTTATTTACAAAATGACATCATTATTATATTTACATTTATTGAAGAAGTTTTGATTTTGAGAAAGAATGAAATAAAAGAAATGCAGATTTGGATTGAGCTACAAAGTGAGGGTCAGAGTAAACACGGAAATAAAGAAAAAAGAAAATACAACCATATTGGAAAATAAAAAGGAGATCAACTATTAGATTTTTTTAAAAAATCATTTTAAATTCGAGTATTTAATGCTAACAAGGAAGTGATGAGAGGCTTTTGTGCCCTTTGATAGAAATACAGTTTTGTGGGGCCAGTAGATAGCATAGTGGTTCAGCACTGGACTCACACATGGTCAATCACAATTCAAGCCCTGGACCTGGTGGCTGGAAAATCACACTGGGTACAAGTGCATGCATGTCCAAAATTCCAAGAGGAGAATGGAGAAGAGATTGTCGTGTGGCCATTCTCCCAGTGGGTGATTTCTCACTTTCTCTCTTGGTCTCTCTCGCTTTCTGGTGAGCATATTCACCCTATGGGGGAAAAAAACTTAAAAAAAGAAAGAAATATAATTTTGTAATATATATATATATAAATTTTCAAAAATGCACATACACTTTGATCCCAAAATCCCATTCCAAGGAATTTATCATAAGGAAAATAGATATATGAACATGCATGAATAGTATTGATTTATCATTCATAATTGCAAAACTTTAGGAAATATAAATGTTGACTAGTTTTTCAATGAATTTGGTGTGACTAGTCAATGGAATGTCATGTGGCCATTAAAAAGGATGATGTCTATAAAGGTTGAAAAATAGAGATACTCCCCCACACACAGGCATATATGCACACACACTTGTAGATGGGGACCGCAGAAAGTTTGTGAAAAAATGAAATTATAGTATGAGCTTGTATTTGTGTAAAAAATTTTGAAATCTATGAATAATTTTTTTCATAATATAAATATAAATTTTCCATAAACTTTTCTGCCATGAGTGAGAAACAAAGAAACACCTCCAACAGGGCTCCAAGCCACAATCCATCCTCAACCTCAACCAGCCATGGATCATGGGTATGTACATGCCTGGTATACTCAGGGAGGTCTCTGGATGCACACCTAAAATCCTCCCAATGCGGCTCAGCCTCACAGAATATCATATTTGACCACCATACCACCATTTGGACCCTCCATAAACTTTTTGAAGACCCCCTCATATAAATATACACATACATATACTTAATAATAAATGCTTATACACAATAAGTAGTCAGAATTTATGCTGAAACACTTTGCTTGCTTCTAGACAGTGCTTGCATCAGCATAGTAACCTCAGAAACTGGTATTCTTCAACCTTTTATTATTATTTAATGTTTAATTCTTCCCCATTCTGCATTTGCTTTCTTTGTACATGAGGAAACAAACTACTTTACAAAATGTTGTTATTGTTATTTCATCTTTATTAAATATGAAGGAAAAGGCATGAACTACATTTAAAGAGGGCTAAGCTAGAGTCGGGGGGCACATTAAACTGAGCAAGGAATTCGGAAGGTTGAGATGATGTGTCAGGGACAAGATACTCAAGGTAGTCAATTCCTCAGTGCCAAGCAAACACAGACTACTGACTTGAAATAATGTTTTAGAACCAAAAAACATTGTTGAAACATCTGTTTCATCCATATATTCAGTTTACAAGAGTCTTGGCAATTAAGTTTGCAGATTCACAACTAAGGAACCTGGGAGAAGTTCCAAAGGAAAGCTAAAGAGGAAAAAAAAATGTGGCTGAATGTTTAGAAAAATGGGCAAAAAGTAGCCTAATGAAGCTCTTCTTATTTTCAGGAAAAAAAAAATCAGAATTAGCAAAGGGAATTGGTGTTAGTTCTCATATAAACCAAAGGCTATTGCTTAAGTAAAAACGAATAATGTTTCTAATGATACTAGAAAGATCAGGCTAATAGCAATGAATTATGAGTTAAGAATAAAAGTCCAGAAATAAGTAATAACTAAGAACATAAAAGTCCAAAAACAAGTAATAACTTGTCAAAGGATCTGTGGACCTGCTTCTAGTAGTATTAAAAATAGGACTGATTGTTGTCTTAGAAAATTTGAGTGTGGTTTTTCCCAGAGGTTACAGGGTATCTCAAAAATCCCATTCTAAAATATTGGGCTTTGAAAACAGAGCAAGAAAAATGGTAAGAGTCACCTGAGTGGTTTTTACTCAATTCAGGTGCATTTATTCAGAAGCCTATGCATTCTAATAACTGCTCCAATACAGAGGAAATGTAAAGAAACTCAAGAGGGACCAGCATGTGGTGTACTGGTTACATTATTGGATTCCTACATAGTGAACCATGGTTCAAGTCCCAGATTCCACAGCTTAGAATTCACTGTGGGTGCATGTTCATGTGTGCCCAAAATCCTGAGAGGATATGGAGGAGAAGGGATTCCAGCATGGCCACCCCTTCTGTGGGGTGATTTCTCTTCTTTCTGTTGCTCTGTTTTTCTCTGTCTCTCTGGCAAGCACATGCATCCTATAGCAAAAACCTCTCTAAAAAAAAAGAAGAAAAAAAAACTCAAGAGATGTTAGGAAAAGGTTTTAGAGATACCCATAGCACAAGAGCCCAAACAGAATTCCATGATAATTTTCCTCTTGAACAGAAGATGACATCAGGGTAGGCCACACGTCACATCACTATAAGATGAAATAAAATAAATCCCAGAAGCCAGTCAGGCAGGGAAAAATATTAATTTAAAAGAAATACTTTATAAATGTGAGAACTGACAGGAAAAGATAGAAATAATAAAAATGAAAAAAATCCTGGCCACAAACACTTCCAAAACCAGCATATAACTTTACAGCGGCAAAGAACTTCTTTTGGCTGGACCTTTGTTGGAAACAATAGTCATTTATAGAAGGTGTGCTCATCATACAATTCATAATCATTCAGGAAATAAACTAAAACCCACAGTTTGAATACGCCAAAAGCAAGGTAGGAACTCTAGGGTGTACAGAAGCAAGGAATCTGCTAAGTCATCCGATTCAGGCTAGAGATGACTCAAAAGTTCATACCTGTCTTTAAACAGAGCTCATCAAAGTCATGGCAGCAACTGCTATAGCTCTTACACAAGTTGTCACACCGACAATCAGGAGGTCCAATCTCTTCAAGTTCAAAGCATCTGCCCTTGCAAGTTCCAGAGGTGTTGGTCCAGGGGGAGTCTGACAACACTACAAGAAACAAGAGGCAAAAGCATAGATTGGGAAGTAGATCATGTCTCCATGGAAGGGAGGAGTGCCCTGGAAAGTCATAAAGTGTAATACTGCAGTCAGATGCTAGCTGAGAAGCCTAGCTTGACCACCTGCTACCCATGTACCCTGGGCAGATTGCTAAAGAAGCCATGCCACTGTTTCCTCATCTGTAAAGTGGAAAGATTCATAAAAGTAACTCTATGTGGAAATAAGAATTCGATAAAATGAGCCATGTGAAACACTTAGGGTGTCAGACACAGAGAAAAAAAATGTTGGTTATGTGTTTGGTTCGATAAATCTTTACAACTATTATTACCACAAATTTATGATAGTCACTGCTTATATGAATGCTAGCAATAACAACAGAGAACAATATTTTCTTTTACATGCTTAGAAACAAGATTTAATTTCCCTATTTAAAAATCTGTATTTCTTTTTTAAAGAAAAATTGAGCCCAAATATTGTGAGAAAAAATCTGAATATATGTGATTGGAATGGCAAAAATTTACAATCTCTTCTAATGATAAACCCATATCTATAATTATCTATAATTAGCATTAATTATACAAACACATAATCTTGGCTTACCAAAAATAAATCTTCCACCATTATTTTCATATAATTGTGTGTCTAGAAATCTCAAGAATCAACTAAAATTTTGGAAAGAAAAGAATGTAGTAAGATAAATTCTGCAAATTCATCATGCATAGGCAATACAGGTTCAAAAATTAAGTGAAAATTTAATTCATAATAGTACCCAAAAGATAAACTATCTAGGTATAAACTTAATAACATGTGTAGAGCCTGTGTGAAGAACATGCTGAAACTACAAAAAGATATTTTAAAAGATCAAATTAAGAGTCACCCAGTCCTAGCATTTATGGCATAAGATCAGTTCAACTAAAGACATAAAACCATTTTCGAGGTAAAAATGTCAATGTTAAAAAATATTAATTCTTCCTAAATAAACATAAAATTTATGCAACTGCAATATAAAGAATCTAGAGTTCTTGAAACTTGAAAGAACATTTAAATTTATATGAAAATAGAAAAACATTGAAAAGGGGATGGCCCTGTTACCCATTCTATAGTTAAGTGCTATGCACATGGATCCCACATGGCCAACCATGGTTCAAGTTCCAGGCCTGACAACATGAAAAAAACATCACATACATCTGCATTCCCCCTCCCCCATATGCTAATGGGATGGAGAAATGGAGGAAGAATTGTGATATGACCACATCCTACTGGGGGAGGTGTTTTTTCCCCTCACTCTTTCTCTCTGGTAAGTGCACATATCCTCTGGCAATAAAAACAAACAAATAAGAATTTTAAAAATACATTTGTAAAAATGAATAACATTGGAAAGGAAAAATAATTTGGTGGAGAGTAGACAGGAAAGTACACTCTTTTTTTTTTTTTTTTGGAGAGGTTTTTTGTTGCTGTTGTAGGACTCATGCGCTCACCAGAAAGACAGAGAGAGGCAGAGACAGAGAAATAGAAAGCGAGCAATCACTCCACAGGGGGGGATGGCCACGCCACAATCCCTTCTCCTCTAGGGATCTTGGGCACACATGCACACGTGCCTGGCGTGAGTTTAAGTCACCGAGTCCGGGACTCGAACCGTGGTCAGCTACATTATGCTAACTGCTGGTCCCACAGAAAAGTACATTCTGAAGTTAAATAATTTAATTATTTTGGTACCAGAAAAAATTAAGCTGGATTCTCATCCTTGTTTACAAGATCATTTCTGACAAATGGAAAATATGAACAGTCTCACACAGGTTTTTAAGAATGCAAATTTTCGTAAAATAGGATATAATTTATAAATACTGATCCATATTTTAGAATGTCTATGATTCTCATTCCACTAGTAGGAATTTATGGCTTATATATTTGCAAAAGTTTGCCAAGGTTTATGTACAAAAATGTTCATTGTTCATTATAGTTTTTTGTAATGGGCAGGGAGAACTCTGAAATCAAAGTTGTTTTCCTCATCAGAAAAGAATCACCATAACCATTCAGTAGAATATTGATGACCCCTTAAACATGTCAGATCTACAAAAGTTAACATGAAAAGATCTGTAAAATATATGTTTTTGTAGTTGTTATTTTCTTTTAGAAAGACTTTTTCTATTAGAGCATGTGCAGTCACCCGCAGAGAGACAGAAAGCGAGAAATCACCCCCCATGGGAGATGGTCATGCCGCAATTCCTTCTCCTCCATTCTCCTCCTGGATTTTTGAAATGCATGCACGCATACCCAGCGTGAATTTTTAAACCACAGAGTCCAAAATTCAAACTGCAGTCAACTATGTGGGTGTCCAATGACATAATCATTACACCTTCTGCTGGTCCCAAACATGTAAGTTTTTTGAAAGAACAAATGTGGGCCAGCCGGCAGTGTCATGATTAAAGTGGCTGGATCCCACATGGCCAATTACGAAATTCAGGACCTAGGTTCACAGACTCAGTAGCTTGAGAAACACACTGGACACTTGTGCATGCATGCCCCAAATCCCAAAAGGAGAGCAGAGAAGGGATTACGTTGTGGCCTTCACCTATGGGAGGTGATTTTTCACTTTCCCTCTCTCTCTCTTTCAGCCTGTCTCTCTCTGGCAAGTACACATGCCCTGTAGTAAAAATTAAGGGGGGGAAAAAAAAGAACAAAGTGTACAATAGTGTTATACTATTAAAAAATTACATACTATATTTCGTAATAAAAATAGAGATAAAGAGAGCAATGAAGATATAGATAAAGACAGAAACAGAAAGAGATAGCTAGAGAGGGGGGAGAAAAAGAGTGGGGACAGAGGAATTAAGAATCTAGAGATGTGCATACCCTTTTAAAAATGCAGCTGTTAATAGATTTTTTTTCTTCCCTGTACAAAACTATTTTATAGAAATTACATTTGGGGAAAATGAGAAAGAAAAAGACTTTTTAACTTTCTGTAGGTTGAAATTTTCTAACACTTTACAAATTCATAAGTGGTTGTCTGGTCATTCTGTTTGCATGCTTTCTATTTGTACATTTGTATAAATATATATATGTGTGTATATATATGTATATATATATAAATATACACATTTATACATCTATATATAACATATAAATATCCAAACAAATGTTATGTATGACATGCAATTTGTATTTTTAATGTCCTTATTTACATTTTTATTAATTTTCATTCTTAAAATAATTCACATGTATTACTTTTCAAATGAAGAAAAAACAAAAAGCAGAAGAACAGATGTTCAATGACATTTCCAGATTCACCTAAGTCATTTATCTGAACATCCTGTTCATCCCTTGGTCCCTTGTTCTCTTTATATCAGAGTCACCCAATCCTAGCCTTTATACATAAGATCAGCCCAACTAAAGCAAACATATTCACTAGACCGTGAGATGTGAAATGCTTTTGCTTGGTTGATTCTAGGATGTTGAAATACACAAAACCACACCAGTTCAGTTTAGGAAATAAAATCAATGACCAAAATAATGCCTTCCCTCAGGTCCATAAACCACATTTTTCTATTGACTTTGGCCAACTATTAACAGTGCATGATTAAAACAACAAAAATTGTTTTGAATTTTATGAAAACATAAAACAATGGGGAGAGCAGTAGTTGAGAAGTATAAAAAGAAAAGAAAAAGAAAAAAGAGAGAGTTTTATAGTAAATATCAAAATAAGAAAAACACTTAGAACCAAATATTTCTTTAAGGATATTGGTTAGATGCAATCATTTGAGGAGATTCATTCCCATGATGCACACATAAATATACATAGCTATGCTTATAGATGAGATAATGAGATCTAAGGCAACACTGCTTACAGGTGTTTACTTGTTCTGTCTTTTCCTGTTTATGGTATCCCAGCATGCATTTGATATTCCCTGCATCCATGCCTTGCCCTTTCCCTGCATCATGATCTGTTCATTGCATTATATCTTTTCAAAATATCTGCATTAAAAATAACCATTTTTAATATCTTTCTTCATTTTTTTCATGACTTTACTATTTTCTTACAACACTGATCATTCTTTAAATTTGTACCTTGCTTCAGTTATGAAAATAGTTGAATCTCAACAGTTTGAATATATTCATGGCAATCCACCTTACCAACTCTTAAGCTGAAGACCACCTTGTTAAAATGAGTTACACTGGCATTCATAATGCAAAAATATATCCTATAATAATATTTCAAGATTGGCGGATCGACAGCTTCAAATAGAAATAAACTCGGGGGTTTATGTAGATTAGGGGACACCTATACAGATACCCACTTTTGCCTGACTTGAATTCAGCTGAGGACTTCAAGAAGAAAACTAAGAAGATAGTCTAAGTCACATAAGACCTCTTTTGATCTAAAACCCCCAAGAAATTGGACTGCAGTCTCCTTTTAAATAAAATGGAGTGGTAGAACAGCATATCCTTTTTGCCACTTTAGGGACTATCTCATCCTAGCCATCTTTCATCACAACCTCTTCACTCCTAGTCATTTTATAGTTCTACAATTCAACCTCCTCGTTATGTTTTGGTTTTGGTTTTGGTTTTGGTTCTTCCATTCCATGCCCAGGCTCCTTGTCCCTTCTCTCTGTGTCCAGCCTAAGGACAGACTTTTAGGACTTCTCTTTTTATTGTACCTGATGCAATGTCATGGACAGAGTGATTCTCGTATTTTGTTATATGATAGAATTTTAAAACCTAGTATGTCTTCCTTTATTTGGCTTAAATCAGAGAACATTGATGTGAGCACTTTGGTTCTATGACTTAGAAGCAGGATGAAAACTGATTGATCAGGTCTGCTATGGTGCTTAAGGCAGCTGGATTCAGTATAGATGACCACACAGTTTAAATCCAGGACCCAGCAGCTTGAAAAATATGCCAGGTGCATATGTGTGCATGCCCAAAATCCTAACAGAAGAAGAAGAGAAATGGAGGAGAAGGGATTGCAGCGTGACTATCCTCCAATGGGGGAA